TCCCCTGCAGAGGCCATTATTATAATTTTAAAGAATGGATGATGCTCATGATAACTTTTTTTTAAAGTAAATTGTCCATTCTATATCAAAGCATGACAAAATGGGTGTAAAGGAACTAGATGCCCCAAGGAGCCTGAATCGTTCACCTGTCAATTTTGCATAAAAGTAATACAATGCAATGAAATATTTCAAATAGTTTGAAGCAAAAAGGCAAAAAAATGTCATATCTTCCTTCAAGCGCAGTAACTCCTAGAAGGGTTCAGTAATGTTGACTGAATTGTATATCTAGTCCTGCAGATCATTTTGTTTATTACAGTTTCTATCTATCTGATATAGTTTCCGCAAAAAACTCCACAAAATGGAAGAAAATAGTCTTTCAATGGTAATAACTCCTTTAAGGAGTCAACTGACAATTACCGCCATATTGTTTAATAGTAGATCTTGATTTGCTAGTAATTTTTCTAGTTACAATTTATCTCTATTATACTTTCTACAAGAAAAACAACAAATTTCTGGTAAAAGTGTCTTCCAGGGGGAAATAACTCCTCTAAGGGGTCGCTTGTGAATTACGGCTACGTTGAATTTTTTTGTAGATCTTGTCCTGCTAATTATTTTTTATTTACATTTTTTATTCATCTGCTGTAGTTTCTGCAAAAAGCTCAAAAATGAGTAATAAATCGTCTTTCAGGGACAATAACTCCTATAAGGTGACAGTCATATCTAAACAATCAAAGGTAAATTAATTAAAATATCACATGTCGTTTTCCATATCGTTCCCGATATCAGCTTCAAGGCTAGACCGATCTGTCTCGAGCTTATACACCGACTATACAAAGCAGTCTCACGTTAATACGCTGGCTATATACATTGTAGTCTCAAGTTAATACACTGACTAGACATAGCAGTTTTGGACTGGTACGCTGGCTAGACATAGCAGACTCGGGCTTATACAATCACAATAGACATAGCAGACTCGGGCAAATACCATGAAAAGACATAGTATCTCGGACTTATACTTTGGCTGAACATAGCAGCCTTGGGCTATACCATGGCTAGATAAAGCAATCTTTGCCGTATATCATGGCTATATAGACCAATAATCTCGGGCTTATACCATGGCTAGACATAACAGTTTTTGGTGTATACTATAGCTTTATATAGAAGTTTCGGGCTTATCCGCAGGCTAGACATAGTAGTCTCTGATATATATAAATTATTCTAAAATTTTATCAACACTGAAATTAGATCTTTGAATATTGTTTTTATCGGTATAGATATTGATTTTGTTATCAGGAAATTAAGACCAACCTAAATACTATTATACACATATGTTCATTCCTGGTTCTACAATCTGTCGATGCCTATACTTTGGCATCAACAACGTCATGTTTTTCTCTGAATGTTAACGCCTCTTTACATGCACTAAATCCATGGGATGTTGGATGTGTACTGATTGATATTTAAGTCTACGATACATCATTTTTTATTAGTTGTAGTTGTTATTTGCTTTGAACTAGCTTTCAGTAACTGCGAGTACTCTCAGATCTTTACTTTTGAGTCTTTAGTGTTTTTGTTAGGGTTTTACAGTAATTCAGTGGTTGCCGTTTGTTGCTGTATATCATATTCGTTTTTCGTTTATTGTTTTGTACATAAATCAGACCGTTAGTTTTCTCGTTTGAATTATTTTACATTTGTCATTTCGGGGCCTTTTAAAGCTAACTTTGCGGTATGGTTATTGAATACCACATCTTCTTATTTTCATATATAGATATATATAGGTGAATGTGAAATTTAAAATCAAAGTTATTCATAAAACTGTATTCAATTGTGGACAGTGTCCAAAACGTTGTAAAACTGATAAAGTAATGGCATAGCATGGAATCTTTTACCTTGATTAATGAAGTTTTTTCATGTTTTTGCTGAGAACATTTGGGAAATAATTTGGGACCAGGACATTGCTAATCGGTTTTTTAATATTTTTTTATAATTTAATTCTAAAAGATTCCGACCGAAGGATCTAAAGGCGGAGCTGAATAATTTTAATTTTCCACAACGATATTAGATCTTTTTTCATTCATAAACTTTTCTTGTTATCTAAAACAAATTGATCAGTTCGAATTCGATAATATTTCTTAGCAACAATGTATCAATTATTATATTTATCAAGCTTGCACGTGCTGCGGTTGCTATTAACCTTTCATTGATGTAAGTTTATCTGCGCTCATTTAATCAGTGATTGTGTTTGTTTATTTATATGTACATTATTATGCCAAACTTAATTAGCACCGACACATCTGTGGGTTCTTGCTTACAACTAAGATTATGATATTAATCACAAATGACAAATGAGTATTTAGCATTAGATATCTTTGATTATTTGATTTAAAGATATCAACTGAGGAAATTTTACATTTAAATTGACACTACATAGAAATATAATACATCGGGTTTATTCTTATAATTTATCATAAAGAATATTACTGTTATTTTCTTCTCTTTTTTTTTGGGGGGGGGGGGGGGGGGGGTGATATTAGCGGATGTAACATATTGCAGTTAAACGATGTTATTTTGCCGTAATAAATTAGTGTGGTATGGAAAAAAAGTTTACAAATTACAAAAGGGACAATCACAATCTATTAGTAGAAAAATAACAGATCAGTACTATGGCTGAACAAGACAAACACACAAACCATTATGCAGAAAACTAAGCACTGACCAACACAAATCCAACTAGGATTTGACTTCAAAGCACAAATGGTACCAATCGTGTTGAGCATGAGTAATACGTAAATATCTGGTAAAAGTCGCGATTGAAAGTTTGTAGAATTAATAACACCATAGTTTGTATGCTATTTAAAAGAGCAAGTCACAAATCTAACTCATGGCTAATGATTTTCTGTGCTGTTGAAAACTATATTACGATTGATGTAATTATGATAATTAGAATTTTATATTAAATAATGGGATAAAATTACATTTTTCCCCAGTGAACAAAGAGCATTGAGGTAATTACAAACAATTTGACAAAAATAAATTTCTGTTATCATTAAATTTGTCTGTGTCGCTTGTTTGTCTCTGTGTTGTTATTGATACAAAAGACATTTCTGCTAGTCGAATATTAAATAATGACTGAAAGAAAAACCGAAAAAAAAAAATAAAAAAAAAATGGTATAAATCTGCATTAACCGATTTTTTTATCTGACATAAAAACTTTTGTCTTACGACGACACACATTCGTTCGAATATTTCACAAACCGATTGCATCTGTCTCAAGGCATTGTCATAGCAGAAAATAACATGATTGGTGGTGATTGGTCAATTTTCGGGATTTCCGAGAGAGTGGCCATATCAACGTGGAAGTTGAAAAAGTAATTATTAGGGAACATTTTTTCTATGTATAGCCTAGTGCTCCTAATATTTACAGATTTTGATTTTAAATACTATACCACTTTTCCATTTTTACCTTCAGCATATAAGAGCATAATGATAAGGTGCCAAATTGACAGAACTTTACTTAAGGGTGTACTTAGATGAGGTTTTGGAATTTGTGTTAAATGTTCGGACTCCTCGGTTTTTTTCCATACAAAATAAGGTAAAATATTTTGCCCCATAACACCTATTTATCTTTTAACATAAGAATTAATAGCTCATAAAAGGTCATTTGACAAAATTTTAGCAGATTCTTGATTTTCTTTCTTCTGATTTGAGACCCAAATAATACCAATGCAAATATAAGGTAAAAGTCAGAGTCAGCCTTTTCCCGCCATATTTCATAAATCAAATATCTCGAAAAGGAGCTCCATGACCTATCAATATTTTTAGCTTATTTTGATCCTTAAGTAATACTCTTCCATCTAAAAGTATCAATTTTGAATTCTTGATTTATTTAATTTTACCTTAGATCACCTAAGTACATCCTTAAGACGTGTTGTTGACCCAAACCAACCCTATCTGCCTGACGTAACCACGTCACTACGGTGTATAAAATGGGAAACAATCTTGGAACTTCCGTAAAACAGAAGGAATTTCAATACTCTCACATCATTATTTCTGTTCTAGATTATTTTTGACATTATGTTACTAAGACCAACATAGCACTTGAGATCAGTCAAAATATGACCGGTCTTTTTTAATCTACCTCCTGGACGTAAAATTCTGATTAAAATCGAAAATAAGATTGCCCTAAGAACATAAAAACAAATTACAAACATATCACAAATGCATCGAACTGACAGGAACCAAACTGGCATGTTAATCATCTCAATCTTAAGTTATGCTACTTTGTGTGCATTTCTTGTGTGAATATTTCAATATTGACAATAGCAATTAATGATTAAACAAAAAAGATGTATACCACAAGAAAATAACCGCCCACACCAAAACTTGGCAGAAATCTACAGTTTTGTAGATAACGAGAGATTATGGCTAAAACAGATGTATTGCTTCTTATCGTAACATAATTATCCTTGATGAGCATAAATTAAAGACAAAAATCACGATAATTGTAGTCATCTTTGGGAGAGAGCTATTATTCTATAAAGCACAGACAGGATATCCATAGAGATGACTGAATTCCAAAACTAACTGCCAGAATATTATACATAATAGATGTATATATCACGAATATCATGATTTGTACTTGTAATTAACAAGAAAATCTAAGATATAAAAACGTCATTTATTATGTATTACATCATCTGTCATATAGTGTGTAAAGCAATGTACCATACACGAAGTACGCTACATACTTCACATTGCTGAGTCATATTTAGAGCAATGGAATTATTTTTCTTAGCAGTGATTTTTTTTATTTATAATAAAAATAATACACTACTTGAATGGTTGACTGACGACAGATGTAAAATCACACATAATTTTGTGCTTGTGATGAAAACTTCGATGCATGCAATTTAAAAAATGTGTGGAATGAATATAAAAAAGTGCAGACGATATTTGAAATATAAAAACTGCTAAATGGGATAAAAAACATAGGTACTTACACGTGCAGCCATAGAAGTTGTAGGTTTTTCCAAAAGATCCCATATTTTTTGTCTCCATGCAGCACACTTTCCAGTTCCAAAGTCTTCTTCATCTCTTTGTCTTAAACTCTCAGCTTCCTTTCTAATTTCCTCGTAAACATGTTCTTTCCTTTGATAATATTTATGTTGACAACAAGACTCTAAGTACAGTTCATCTATTCCCCAGTATTCTAAATCCTCACTGAAAGACAATACACACATTTCTTCCACTAGATGTAATTTTCCTGTTCTATAAAAATTTAAAATAGAAGCAAACGACCTTGGATGTCGATCAAAGAAATATTCATTATGAACTATTGAATAATCATCGCAGATTTCCATCAAACTTTCATGTGTATTACACAATTTCAATTTGCCAAGTCGTGTATGAGGCATTCTATCCAATGTTCTCCATAAAACTTCATGTTTAACACCACCGACATTTAACACAACACGTTTGGACATTTCCTTACTCCTTACAATAGCATTAGGGTCCGGGGGTCCGCTTTCTGTATATGGATAATATGCCCCTGTACCAGCTTCTCCTGGCACCCCCATATCCACAGAAATCTGCATCGATGTGATTGAGTTATTCGGTGGTAAAGCAGACGTTGATAATGAATTTGGATTGGGTATTATTTTCACTTCTGGTTTTGATGTATCCCGCTGCCGTCGAGCTTGGTATTTGTTTGTGTTTACAGAACAACCCTGTGGCTCAAATGCAATAGAATCTCTTTTACATTTAGAATCGTAGTGTAACGAGGCGCTTCTTGATGATAGATTGCTTGTTCCGTCTGATTCACGCCCTTGTCCTGAGCTGGAAAATAATCACGTCTTTGTTAATTATTTTTACATCGTTATTCCCAGAAATAATCAAGTATTAACTATAACGTACATTGCATGCAAAGAAATCAAATATACACGATGTTATTGACCGCTTGCACGCATAATCAGATCCAACATAAATGTAAAATGTACACTGGGACAGCATATATATTCCATCTTTATACGACTAGAAACACAAATTAAATGCACGTTTTATACGGAACCTGCTTGTAAATGGATTATTTTGCCACTCCGTTCAATGTTAACTAATACAGATAAACTAAATAGATTACCGCATAACAAACCACCGATAGTAAGCAATAAAAAATCACACAACAAACCACCAATAGTAAGTTATAAAAAATCAAATAACAAACCACCGATAGTAAGTTATAAAAAATCTAACATTGATTTCTCTTCAGCAGAAAATGGATGGACTTTAAGAAGTCGCAAAGCAGATAAATTACAGTTCTGTGAGCAAACGGAGTGTATAGGTTTATCAATTTATTTGGTTTGAATTTTTCAGTTATTGTAAAAGAATGTATTCAATATACTTCAACTGGTTTTACAGTCAATTAACAAATATACAGCAAAGTCTTTAAGTAAAATAGGCTTAATAATCAAAATTATAATTCACGTTCAGCTGATGGCAAACTGTTACATCTTCCAAAGCCATTTTTTTTTCAACAAGACATATATGTATACTGGATCTCAAATATGGAACAGTCTACCAAATTGAGATATAGATTTGTAAGACTCTTGCATATTGTAAAGAAATATGTTTTCATGAAAAAAGTATATTGATATGTCAATTTCGTCAATATTATATAATATTGTATATGTGCAAGTAGATATAATATTTTATGTCCTTCTCTAATTTGCAATTATATTTTACGACCCCCTAGAAGATATGCTGTAACTGATGAGGCTATCTTCTTTAACTACAGATAATTTATTTATTGATTTATTGTTTAGGACTAGCGCAAATGACTTATATCAAGGGATAAGATTTTTGGCTCTGCAGTGCACTTTCCCACCCAAAATTTAAAGTAGTCATCTTGCTTATTTCAATACTTTGGTTTTGAGAATTAAAAAAAAATATGAAAATCGTTTCAATGAAACTGAGCCACTCGTCATTATGCAAACAACAACCAACCAATCAGCTAACGAAATTGATCCATTTTGCATTATGCAAACAACAATCAATCAATCAATCAATTAAAGAAATTGAGCCACTTTGCATTATGCAAACAACAATCAATCATTCAGCAAGAGGACACTACAGTGATACTGTATGATAGTATCAAACCGATTTCCGTACAACACGTGTTGATGTAATCTTACACCAAATACAAACCCAACCGTAAACGATTCGAAATATTCTAAAAATAACACTGTATCGGGCAAAGTAAACTATGAACAATGTGATGATAAGGTTAGACAACATAGAATTTCAAGGTAAGGGAAGCAACAAAACGACCACTTCTGATCTAGGGACGTTGCAACACAACCCCCGTTCATGGTAGGGAGACAATAACACGATTACTTCTGATCTAAGGACGTTACAACATAATCCGCGTTCATGGTAAGGGAGACAATTAAACGATTACTTCTGAACTAAGGACGTTACAACATAACATGTGATCATGGTAGGGAGACCATCAAACGATTACTTCTGATCTAAGGACGTTACAACATAACATGTGATCATGGTGGGGAGACAATTAAACGATTACTTCTGATCTAAGGACGTTACAACATAACCTGCGATCATGGAAGGGAGACAATTAAACGATTACTTCTGATCTAAGGACGTTACAACATAACCTGCGATCATGGAAGGGAGACAATTAAACGATTACTTCCGATTTAAGGACATTACAACATAACCTGCGATCATGGTGGGGAGATAATTAAACGATTACTTCTGATCTAAGGACGTTACAACATAACCTGCGATCATGGTAGGGAGACAATTCAACGATTACTTCTGATCTAAGGACGTTACAACATAACCTGCAATCATGGTAGGGAGACAATCAAACGATTACTACTGATCTAAGGCCGTTACAACATAACTACCGTTCATGGTAAGGGAGATAATTAAACGATTACTTCTGATCTAAGGACGTTGCAACATAACCCGCGATCATGGTAAGGGAAACAATTAAACGATTACTTCTGATCTAAGGACGTTACAACATAACTACCGTTCATGGTAAGGGAGACAATTAAACGATTACTTCGGATCTAAGAACGTTGCAACATAACCCGCGTTCATGGCAAGGGATACAATTAAACGATTACTTCTGATCTAAGGACGTAACAACATAACTACCGTTCATGTTAAGGGAGACAATTAAACGATTACTTCTGATCTAAGGACGTTGCAACATAACCCGCGATCATGGTAAGGGAAACAATAAAACGATTACTTCTGATCTAAGGACGTTACAACATAACTACCGTTCATGGTAAGGGAGACAATTAAATGATTACTTCTGATCTAAGGACGTTACAACATAACTACCGTTCATGGTAAGGGAGACAATTAAGCAATTACTTCCGTTCATGGTAATGGAGACAATTAAACAATTACTTCTGATCTAAGGAAGTTGCAACATAACCCGCGATCATGATAAAGGAGACAATTAAACTATTACTTTTGATCTAAGGACGTTACAAATAACAAACCCCTCTCATATATATATGCTATCCAAGAGATATTTGTTTATTATTAACATGCTGAAAATTAGTTCCTGTAACGTCTGCTTACCGTTTACGTTTCTCTCTCACTGAAAGCCACTCACTACTATTTGATGTTAAATTGAATTCGTATTTTAGTTTTAAATTTGTTTTTTTGTTCTAAAAGACAAACGGATTAGACACTAGTTTTGTAACTTAGTAACTTCTTCTCCAATACATATATGAATGTACACATGCATGAACATATTTTGTGTCGTTGCCGTTTTGAAATATTATACTGTTGTTCAAGGCAATGTATATGTACAAGCACAATGAAAAACACCAACGCCGTTTAATTGTGTTTATTTTGTTATAAAACAATACTTGAAACTCTAACCTTTATATCATATTGCAAAATTATGTTTTAAAGGGCAATAAGATATACTGTTTAACAACAATCAAAGGGTGAAAAAAATGACCTTCGTTTCTTTTTTTTTCACAAACGGTTTTCTGTAATATTCTGGACTATATGAACTGCGACTGCATGGTTTAGATAATATAATATTTAACTTAGTATAAATACTAAATAAAGCAAAGGGATAATTTCATTAAAAAATTCTTTTCAGTAACTGAATGTCATCTTCCTATTCAATTGTTAGTTGTAATTTAGTTAGAGTTTAATTAAACAAAGCGAGCCTAATAAGGATAATACCGGAATAATTAATTTTAGATACCTGCAGAGTCCAGTAAAAGCCGTTACTTCGCGAACTGAAATTCAATATCAGCACTGTGTGATGATGTTATTACTTATAATTGTAATACACACGATTTATCGATTGTATCAACAAGGAAAACCGAGAATTAAACTATTTAAAGGAAAATCAATTTCATATGATATTTATTGTAAATAGAAATGTATCCGCTAACTTGTATTTGCTAATTTCTGCAAAATAAGGATGGCATAAATCAGAAAATTTAATCGTAGATTACAGTACAGGTCAATGGATTTATCGACTTTTTACACTACTGGTTGATGATGGTCGTAACGAATAACTTCCTCGCTATCTGAAGATGGATTGAAAAAAGTGGCAAAACGAATACTAAACGACAGTTGTGAATATTCATAAAGATCGTATGTCGGACTTTCTAGTAGCTCCTATTCTCAATGAAAAATGCCTAACATGATTTCTCTAGGGACTATTTGTTTAAAATAATGTCAGATTTGACTTTTAGAAATATTACTATAGGGCCTAGATTCTAATTATAACTAAATGAAATCTATTTCGTTAAAAGAACTTGTGTATCATTAGGGAACTGCTATAACTTCCCCCTCATAAGCGCCATTCTTATTGGCCGACATGGAATTAGAAAAAAAAAATACCGACAATTCTTCTGAAAAACAACAATGTGTAATATAATTTACAGTATCTTGTTTCTAGAAACGTTTTAAAGGTGTTGTATGCACGAATTTGGGTAAATGGCAAATTGAAAAAAAGACACTATGTTCTTTGACTTTTTTCGCTTATGTTTTCAAGAAAGAAGATTCTATAAAATGGTTCTCTGGGGAAAATAAAGCGTTCCTTTCAAAAACGGATGACCGTGTTTAGCTGTACTTTGTATCAAGCAATTTTCAAATGACGTTCTAGCTTTTTTCCCTCCATATATTTGGTAACAGTATTTTTTATTTACCCATGAGACTCGCCTTTTTTCAAAATAATTCTATAAATAATTGAATATAATCCCTGAAATGAGATAACATCGCCAATACTTATCTAAGTAATAGCTATTGATCGAGGATTGGTCGGATTTCTTACACAACTGATTAATTTCATTCTATCATATTAATATATGCATATTCATAATACAGTGTTCAATAAATTACAAGTAAAACGAAAATTTAATCACTGATAGAAAATTAAATGATTCACGTATATTTTTAAGAATTTTTTTTTAAATATACAACTTTGAGGACATTCCATAAGAAACCTTTTAGATACCTTTTGCAATAATTTGAGGCATTGATTACAATAATTAATTTTAGCAAAATTTCTTCCTGTAGATCATTAATAAAAGGAAATGGCCACTCGATACATTTCGGAAGCAATTGAAATGGCCACTCGATACATTTCGGAAGCATTCAAAAATTAAATATAAAGCTTCGCTGCTTTGGAAACTGATCAATAATTTGGTCAAATTTAATAACGAGAATAAATAAACAAATTACGACATTATATGGACCAAATAATTTATCTTAAAGCTGTAGGAAAGTCAATCAAACACTCAGTTAGATATACCAAAAATGTTCTC